ATACAGGCATCTCATGTAATTCTAGAAAGGCTTTCGATCATCAAATAAGAAATATGAAAACTAAGCCCCCTTTTTATGGAAATAAAAATGAGAGGAATAGTGTTTTTTTGAAAAATGAGTGGTTGAAAAAGAAGGAAAAATTTTCGATTTACATATAATATTATTTTATGAAAGATTGTGTGGTTGAAAATAGGAGAGAGAAACATGGAATGTAATGGAATGAAAATTAATAGGAGTCAACGGGGGCTAAATACAAATGACAGGACATAACAAAATAAAAACAAAACAGAGAGAGAGAGAAAGCGAGTCGAGCATTATCACTTCGTTACAATCATAATCAAAGAAGAATGCACAATGAGTCTGGTGAATCAGAATTAAAAATAAATAGTACATGAAATCATCAAGCAGTCTGAAACACTCATGCAGAGAAATTCCAAAATTCCATAAATCATAACAAATCCAGTTTTCATACTAAGCAAACAACACACACATGCACTTCCAATTAAAAAAAAAAAAAGGAAGGAAGAATAAAAAGAAGGAATAATAAAAAATGAAATATATGATTTCAAAAGGGACCTTCCAGAATCACAAAGAACAATAACTGTGGCAAGTAGGTATCAAAATTGAGGCAAACTATAGTTGATTTCCAGGTGTTGAAATGAGTGAAGGCAATAATATGCAATGGCCTCTCACACTTTTAAATTACTTTCAAGTACTGCATTGCATGTATCGTGAACGCAACCTACTTTCTTCTTTTCATGTATCAAACTAATGTGACCCTGACTGTTGTTAGCAATTCTGTTCTTTCTTGTTAATTAGTTGATTGCTAAAACATAATATTCTAACAATACAACATAAGCTTCCCTACAGCATATAACTTATCAATTCCATCAAGCCTTATTAATCACGTAGAAGTTGATAACAATTCTTGCTCCATCTTGATTCTACATTCTATTGCATATATTATTCTACAAAACGAAACTTTCTTCCTTAAAATGATACATTCAACAGAACGAAGCTTTCTTCCTTAAAATGATACATACTCTAGTGCCAAACAATTCCATCAAGTTTTCATCTGATAACGAAACACATTGATTTTCAACAATCGTATAACACATACCACCAGAACCAACATTTATCATTAAAGAATTACCTTATCCTCGGCAAGAAGTGGAAGGTGAAGAAGAATCTCAAGAGGCTCCGTGTCGGCAGCCATCACAACGAACTCAGAAATACCTCTGTTCAGTGTCTTAGTCGCTGCAATAAACCAGGAAAATTTTAAAAAAACAAAAGACAATTCCTTCAGAAAATAATTAATGGATATGAAAAGGAAAAAAGAAAAAAAAATAGAAACCTTCATTAGCACCCTTTTTGAGCTGTTTGTAGTTGGCAGCCTGCTGAATCAAGTCCAGGATCGTAATAGTCAACTGGGCATCTGCCAATGGGTATGCTTTTGGGTTCACAGCTTCTGCAGTCTATATAAATAAAGATAAACCATAAAAATGTGCTCAAGAACGAACAAATAAAAAAAAAATTCTTAAGGCAAATCTTTAGTCGTGAGTGTGTGTGTGTGAGAGAGAGAGAGAGAGAGAGAGAGAGAGAGAGAGAGAGAAGTACCATGATGCTTGAGAGCTGAAGAAAGAACTGAGGAGAAAAATTAGGAAATTGGGAAGAGGAGGAGGAGGAGGGAGTAGGGTTTTAAGAGAGAGGCGAAGGGGAGGAGACATTAATTAGGGTTCGGATGAAAACGGGTAATGATTGGTTACAAGTTTTTAAAAGTCCGAAATTACAAGCACTAATCTGGTTGGTTTGTACTTTGTATTTTGTAAGATGGAAGTACAGATATCAACGAGTCGAGTCGACTCGCGAGTTGAACCTCAAGGCTTGAACTCTATTCGGGTAAAATGTGCGAGCTTTTTTCGGGGTCCGAGTCGAGTCAAGCAAAAGCTCGATCAAAAAAATTAGGCTCAACTCGAGCCGAACCGACGAGTCGAATTGTCATCCCTCGATGGAAGGGAAAAATAGATGCACCAACCGATAATCGAACTCGACTCTGTACCGTGGCAGGTGCTTTTCTACCACTAGTGCTTGTCCCTTTTTTTTTTCCGGTAATTCTATCTTATTTATAATGTATAGTATGAGTTCTTTGAATCTATCATAATTGTTTTATAATGATGGACTATAAATAGTTACCTAAAGTGTTAATATCATTTAAGAGGAAATTACTTGACAAGTCAATTTGCAAAAATGTCCACTTTCACAAATCCTTGCAAAAATATCCATTTTGGAATATTTTGGACCAAAATGTCACAGTGAACAATTTATGATTCCACACAAAAACAAGAAATAGACATTTTTGCAAAAATTTTATTGACTAATAAATTTTTGACACATAACTTGTCATATTTATTTCAAAAGTGTACATGTCAAATAATAATTAATGCTATTTTTCTCATTAATAAAGAAATATCGAGAATTATACTTCAAGTGTCGAGAAATGTCATGGTTAGAATGAAATGTCATTCTAGATATTTAAAATGTCGAGAACATTTAATATTGTGATTTGATATGTGTACTTTTAAAATATAAACGGGATTTAAATATCAAGAATGACATTTGAAATGTCGATAACATCATTTTAATGTAGTTTCTCATGGAAACTACTTCTCAAAATCCACAACAAATTAAAAAAAAAAAAATTGCATCTTTTTTTCATTAAGGGAATAATAGACATCTTAGTGCTAAATTTAAAAAGTTGACATTTTTCAATTCAACCCCATGAAATTAAACATTTTTGAAAATACCTCATCATTTAATTTCATTGACTTGTTCAATAACATAGTTATTAGGATCTTGTAATGTTGTTAGGTTATCTATGATGAGTAGTCTAACAAAGGAAAAATATAATAAATAAAATTTTACATTCTTTTTAATAAGAAGAGTTTAATAACTCGCTAAAATGTAAATGAACATGGATTTTTCAAAGCCTTCTTTATAGGTCTTATAAAAATGACATCTTTGAAGTTTTTCTTGACAATGTGCATTTTTAACTCAACTTAGTGGGATGATCAAGAAACTCACATTGTTTTTATTTTATTTTCAAATGGGAGGAACGGATCCATGAATCAAAGAAGTGAACCGAGTTGTTTGAAGTGATCATGTTTCCTTGCATAATATGGATTTTAAACATTTATGATTTGAATGTGAATGAGTCAAATTACTTATCAAGATTGTTTGACAAAGATTTTAATAAAAAAATTGAGCAAATTTTTATAGAATTAATGAAATGCGTAGTCAAAAAGTTTTGGCTCACATGAAATGTTGTTGAGATTAATTGTTGACTTTAACATCCACTTTTTCAGCTACTTTTTAATATGATCAATATGTTTTACTATTGTGTGATTATTGCAAGCTAGATAAAACATTCTATACATAAAATCAGAAGAACTTATAAAAAAAAAAAAAATATATATATATAGAAGTATTATAATTGCTAATTAACAGCGTGTCACTGCATTTTCTATTAAAATTTTGATTATTATTTTGTTATTTCAGTTTTATGGTTCTCATAGTTTCTGTTTTTCTCGTAAATGTAATGAAAGGTTTGATATTGTGCTTTAATTTTCTGAAATTAGAGATATAATTTTATTTTTTTTGGCCTATTTATCCCAACTTGTTCAACCATGCGCTTGTTTTGCGTCATTTATTATTTTAGTCCATGCACATTGTTTTCATATGATATTACTCCAACTTCATATCTCCAATTAATTTTACTTGCTAATCGTTTCTTGACTTCTTATTTCTTGTTTTGACATTTAGGTTACTTCAAATCGTTATCTTCATATTGATCGTCTGGCAATTTTTTGTTAACTTTGTTCTATTGCCTTTGCATGTAAACCAATTTTTCACTACCATTGCAGCGATCTTCTTTCGTTACCTCATTTTGCAATCTACATTTATTACAATTTATGTAGTATCTTTAATATTTTTCTCTTTT